GGTCCCGACACTTGGCCACACTCTTGCCCAGCTGTTGGCATTTCCTGGGAAAGAACTTTTCCCAGCCAAAGTCACAGCAGCAATAAACAAACCATTGGTCCAAAACGAGCGGCTGTGGGCACAGAAAGCTTTGCTTGTTCATTTGTTTTCCTCCAGTTTAATTGTAAGTACTTTAGGAATGCAGCTGTCATGTATTTCATAGCAAGTTGTGAGTGTTTGAGTTCTTACTTACTAGAGAGAGAACTAGAGAACAGAGGATTTTCAGTTAAGCTAGAAAAAAGTACAAAATAACAAGAAAAACTTCATCCAGGCTTGTTTTAAAATATTTTGAAATTGAGGTAATCATTAAAATATCATTTTATGAGTACTGAGCACTTACTACAGAGAGTACTAGATTACTATAAGTTTACGATTTTAACACATTATAGTGATGAAAACCTCATTTTCACAGGATTTTAAAACCATGGACATGAATGGTTTTTCCTTTCAAAAAAAAAAGGAATATAAAATCCAGCAGGAAACAGGATGGGAACGTTCAGCAACAGAGCTTGGAATTAAAAGACATTTCATTTAAGAACATTGAATTTAAGGACATTAAATTTCTGCTCTGGCCTTGCACCTCACCTGTGTGCAGGTTACCCTCACCACTCTGCTGCTCACACCTGTGCTCACTCCCATAGCCACATTTGGAGGCTTTTTGGGGTGTTTTTGGAAATACTCTGGGCAAGAGTCAAACTCAGGCAATGAATTATTAGGAAAGAGCTTAAAATTGATGGATATTTTCCACCCTTTAATTGAGGGAGCAAAAGACACAGGGATGGGGGTGAGAGAGCACACAGGGACAGTGAGGTGGCTGTCCCCAGCCCCTGCCAGGGCATAGCACATTGTCACCGTGGCCAAGCTCAGAGCTCTGTGGCTCTTTCCTCTGGGCACAAGACATGTAATTCAATGCTCAATTTACCCTTGTCTCGTAGGAGATTTTTCCCTGCTAATTGATAGAAATTAAGCCATTAATCAAGCCACCAGCCATCATTCAACCCGGGGAAGATGAATACAAACTTTCATCATAACCACCTTCCCCATTTTAGTGTTCATTAGCATTAATTTTTAATGCAATTATGCTATTCTTTTACGCTGAGCTCATAAATTACTGCTCTTTTGTGGCTCGCTGGCCTTGTAAAACCCAAGGTAATGCTTTGTGCTCTGATCTTAAAGGCAATTACTGCCTTCTTCTATCTTTTCCATCTCTCTATCCCAAATAACCTCTGTATTGTAGGTACAAACTCACCAGTGTGGCTGCGACACGGATGGATTGCACAGAGCAATTTGTCTGCGTTAAACCTACACATGGATCTGGTAGTCAGATAAATAACAGCATTGCTGCCTCTGGCCACACCCCACTGCATCCAGGGATCCGACAGCATAGGGAAATGGGACTGTACATTGGGTAGAGAGGGAAAAAATAGCATATTTTAGTGGAATTATGGGCTGTGGATGAGCACGTTGAAGCTGTGCAGGACAGCAGGGCTGAATCGTTGAGGTTTTCCAGCTTTTCCATGGATCACTTTGTGTTTACACCTCAAAATGTGATGTGAAAGCTGTTGCCACATGCCCAGTGCTGATTTTCCCCCCCTATTCCATGTTATAGTACATATAACACCCACAGAACCCTCCCAAGGGCTCCTGTGTTCCATGGGATCACACACTGGCATGCAGTGCCGCTGTGTCA